GCAGTTAGGTTTAACAAACGTGAGCCGTGGAGATTGAAAATGAATGATTAAGATCGGCCAAAGTACCCGTACCCGAATTTTGCCCTGGGCACCGTAGAAGTCACCATATATAAACATATTTAGTTTGATACAAATAATATTTTTCAATTTCCATAACTGAATGCAACAAATTATTCCCAAAAGTGAATGAAGTATACGTATGGGTCAAACCTAGAACCTTGCGCATTACTACAAGATGGTCACATGTTCTTTTATTATATTCACAACATGATTTGGGAGATTAGTTTTGTGATGATTGATATATTTTGATGGCTATCCAATAAAGCATAATTGTTTATGAAAACAAATTCATTCTTACATATTTTTTGTTGGGAGCATGCTAGTTTACATGTGGTAGCAATAATTTGCATGGTGCTAAAAAGTTATAATGAGATCCCTCCTTTTTTTACAAATGATTTTTAGCGAGGAACCCAACATTTCCAATATGAGAAAATTGAGGTGTGCAATATACATCTCAACTGCTCCATTATAGCACGTTATGAGTTCCTTGAGAATTTATATTGGACTTGAGTGTTCAACGCATGGTTGTTAACCCGGACCTGGTGAGAAAAAGGGTCATGCCCACCCATTTAGGAATTAGCGCGGTTTCGTCGAACCCGTATACACCCAGTAAAAATCTGGCGAAATCGGCCGGGTTGACCGGCTTTCCCCGGCGGAGATCTCTGAGTCAGCCCGCTTTCCCCATCAGCAGATGTGAGGCAATTCGGCGAGAGGGAGGGAAGGAAAGAGAACGAGAGGGAGGGATTGGTCTCAGAGCGGGTTTATGCTCCGACGTTGGTGAGAAGAATAAAGGGAACGGGACGGATTGTGGAGGGTGGTTGTTGGATTTGGAAATCGATACTGGGTGAGAGTGAATAATGGAGGACGGAATCGTGGCTCGTGGTTGCGGGAGATGAAATTGATGATGGGTGAGAATGAAGAATTGAGCACGGAATTGTGGCGGGTGGTTGCTGGAGATCGAAATTTATGCTAGGTGAGAGTGAAGAATGGAGGCGGCGAGGGTTGGAGAACACAGAAGAGGGTCGTGTGTGGTGGAGGTGAATAAGGTTTTATTATTAAATATACTAGCTTATAATCCGGCCGTTGGCCGGAGTATTAATATTTGATTATTTATATTTTCTTGTTAAGTTTAAGTCTATCAACCTGTTTAATTTTATTGACAATCCTTCGATCGAGATTATACATAAAATACGAATATATAGATCGAACATTTGGAGAAATCTAAAAATGTATCACTGGTCTCATTTTCAAAATGATAATTAAGTCTCCAGTAAAATGCTATTTGTTAGTTGATTTTCAAGTAAGATAGAGTATAAAAGCTCACTGAAATTCCTCACGAACCATAGATAGTTTTAAACTAAATCTTAAACTTCGCAATCCTAAAGGTTCACTGCTCTCTTTTTAAGAACAATATGCCACTATTCAAAAAGAAATGAAAAGTTGTTGATTCAAGTCAACTATATGCTAACAACTCAGCTAAGAGGGGACCATCACAACTTGAGAGCAAACGCCAAAATTAGGGTTACCTCCAATATACTAATAGATTCTATCAAAGTAATAAGGAACAAAATTAGACACTCCTTCCCTATGATCAGTTCCAATAGGTTGAATAAATAATTGACCGACCTACTTCAGTAAATTAATTGATGATTCCTCGTTTCAAGATAGAATTAGGTTGTGATAGCTTCAAAAATCATAAACCTAAAGATCCAATAGCCACCACTCTCCCTTGTACAATGAAATTTTTATCCCCTTTATCTTCAATCTCAAGAAGCGTCTGTTTCAGCCAAAAATTCAATTTTTAATCCTCCTTCAGCACCTCCATATATTGAACTCCATTCTATTCGCCATGTATTGATATCGGAGTTGAAATTTTTGACTTGCGCAGTTTAAATCCCCAAGAATAAAATCGTCGTGCAAAGAGACCAAAAGATTGATTTTCAAAGGCAGCCTTGTACTGTGAAGTGAAAGGGCGCAAACTATTTCACGATGGAGGGAATTTCAGGGGAAGTTAGAAAGAGATAATAACAAAAATAAAAAGTACAAATTTAAATGTAAATTGAAAAATGCAAGGACAAAACACGTAGTAATAGAATTAGTTTATTCCATGTGGCTAATTACCAATTCACCTTTAGCGAAAATTAAGGAGAGAGCATTGATTTTAGAATTGAGAAACTACATGAAACTATGCTATGAAAATTGTAGTGTCAAACACCATAAAACACATACGGTATACTTAGTGGGATTGCTAATCATGATGAAAAAGTCCTCTGATTTTCAGAGTGTCACTTCGTGTATATTATGTATTAAAAAAGATACAAAAAATTTGTTTAGTGTAATTGGTTGCAATTGTTGTCTTTGTTTGAAGAGACCCGGGTTCAAATCTTGATATTGACATTTTTATATGAAATAAATAAATAATTGTAGAGACAAAAATGCCCTTCCTACTTTCACTCTCGTTGCAGGAAATTTGAAATAGAGAAAAGTAGACAAAACTCTACTATATATTATTGGAGGATATATATATATATTAATGATGAATTATTATTAGGTACTTCAAATTAAGTTACAAATCAGTTGTCAAATTTCGCATTCATTATACTATGTGTATGTGTATTTAAATTGTGTACAAAACGGGTTAAAACTAGTTAATTCGGGCTAATCCGATCAGCACATTAACCCTCCGCCCACTTACTCGACCGAGCCGATGGACCAAACCGGGTTGACAACCTTGGTTCATCGCAATGAGAGATTTATTGATGACTCTTTTTGCTAATTATCATTTTGATGAATCATTTTCCAAAATTAATATGGGTGGAAAATACACAGTTGGGCGTAGAGTTGAGTTGGAATCATCATTATCTCATTTTGATTCTCAAACTAAGAAACATGAAACCAAAGTTCACATGATGATTCATTGAGAAATAAACTTAATGATTGTTAGACTCCTTTTAATCACCTAAAAGAGATGTTCGATTGTAAATGCTTATATACAAATTGATGTTCATATTTAATCTAATATTGAAATGAGTCTAAAATAGCGCATGAAGTCATGATATACTAATCGATTCTAAAAATAAAAATCACAGAGAAAGAAAATGGGCTAATAGCTCCAGAAAAGTCATGACATATAATTGAGATAGCAGTTCCAGGAGAGTAGTAGCTACCTAAGTTTTTGAAGATGAATAGATTTCCATTAAATGACTTGTATGGAAAAACTTTTGAAACCAAAGTGAATCTATAGTCTGAGAGTTTTGAATATGTTGCAACACTGGATGTGATGAATACAAATGAGGCCCAAAAGTAAAAATCTCTTGATGCATGCAAAAAAATAAATTATTGGGCAATTAAGTGGTGATAGATGTTAATAAATTAAGAATTTGAGACAAGAATAATAAGTTATATTTGGCTCTAATATTACTCATGTTGAAACTAGAATGTATTGCATATCATGATGACAACTAAATTCATTATTTATATTGGTTGGTGGTAGAATTATTGGCAAATATTGCAAGGTTTAGGTAAAACTAATCTCACAAACACTTAAATATTGTACTTATATTATGAGTATTTTGGATGTCCATTGAGTTCTACATTGGATGTCAGATTAGATTCTATATTGGATGGTACATTTGAATCTATTTAATCCGCTTCATTGATTATCAGAATGAATAATCTTCATAGCTCATTACCTAATATACATGTGCAAATATAGAGCACTTCATTATACAAATGAATTGGACGAATAAGGAAAAACATTTGCCCCTCTTATCTTATGTTTTCTATCTCTCTCTGTCATTGCTCTTATACCATCTTTCCTATCATTTTATAACAGTTTATATGTACTTATGCTATCTCGAGCCAATGTGGATCTCAAGGCACACCTTAATATGCCTTACTTTGCCACTGGTTGTAGTTGGTGTTACTGGAGTGAAAAGCCAAACATGCAAAGCAGTCAAAATTGAGATTTTATGTAAATCAAAATTGGAGGTAAAATCAGAATCGTATCATCGTAAGATTTTAAGTCCATAAAAAATGAAGATGAATTTAAATATCAGCTAACTTATTTATTCTTCTCTTTTCCCAAAATTTCTCAACTTCCCAGAAGCATCCAACGCTTAAATATGAATTGTTCATACTCAATTCTGATTAAGTCATCATCCCTACTATCCAGTCTCCTACTCAACTTGTTTTAAGTTCTAATCTTTTTTCTTTTTCTTTTGCAGAGAACTTATATTGATTGAAAATTTGGAATTATTAATCTTTGCTTATAATTTTTAATTATGTCAACCCAAAAATTTCAAAAGGATAGTTTCTAAGTGTAGATGATATATGATAATATATAATAATATTAATTTGTAATAAATTTTTGAAGTTATGTAATTTTTATTATTATTTAATAATTTTTATTTTGAACACATTTGCAAGAAAATTTTTGTGGCCACATTTAAATTTTCGAACAGGGCCTCCGAATATAATGGGACGGCCCTGCTTAAATTGTTAATGTTTGGTCTAAATGCTTATCAACTGTCTGGATCATGATTTCCTGTGTTCGGAAACAACTAACAGTTTGGATAGAGTAGAGGGACTTCTGCCATTATATGTGTAATCTGAAATTTAAATCTAGTTGATTCTTAAATCTTAAGTATATTGTTTATGGTAGTGGTTTACACCTATAAAAATACACTACCACATTTATGATCACTACAAGAAAATTGGTTTATAGCGACAAAATTTTAAAGGCAAATGTAATATTAGCCCCTAAATGTATATTTTCCCGACAAATGTAAAATCTGCCTTTATAGACATTGTTATCTGTCACTAAAATTATTTCATTCGCAACAAATATAAATTTGCCTCTATAAATATTATTACTTGTCTCTAAAAATATTTCATTCCCAACAAATATAAATTTGCCTCTAAAAGTATCACCATATGCCTCCGATAAGATAATTATTTTTTATATTTACATTTAGTTTAAAGAAATTTAGGTTTTAGAGGCAGATTTATACCGATTGCCTTGTAAAGTTTTTGTGGGACTTCTAGAGGAAAATCATATTTATTCTTCTTCCTTATCATCACGCAGACCCAAATAATTATTTGGTAAATCCAAAGTTTTGGAGGCAAAATTAAAAGCCTCTATTATCTTAATTAATTAATTAATTCTAGACTAATAGAATTGGATTTATGCAATATTTTCCTATTAATATTTGATGAAAATAAATTTATCATTTTCCACAAATCCTATAATTGGCACCGCTAACGCTTTTTAGTTTTTACACAACTCCTTTGAAGGATCGAGAGGTAGCACGCATCTAGGGTTTCCATCCTTCTTCAATCTAGAATCTCCCTTGTCATGGAGTCGTCTGCTGAATCTTGCTCAACGTTTTCCCCCACCATCGGATCCGCTACTGTTGTTATCTCGGTACGTAGTCTTCAAGAAACTAGGGTGTTCTACACCAATCGCAGCAGCAGATCCAAGGGCAGGCGAGCAAGAGTAGTCGCAGTGAGATGGGGATTGCGAAGGCAAGAACGAGATCTACAACCAACCAAATTAAGGAGGATGGATCAAAATCAGTAGGTTGTCGCCCCATTAATTCCAATTCTATTCAGCATTTATATTTGATCTTCCTCAGTTCAATATCAAGAATCTTGTCACTTTAAAGTTTAAACCATTGGTGTTTTGACATTGTTGTTTGCGTTTGGGTCATAATTGGATTTTCATTTGTAGTGTTGCGTTTTCATTTGAGCAACAATGTGGACCTATATCGTGTTTGATGACACATAAGGTTGTGATCTATATCTTTGGGTTGTCTGTGGAGATGATCTATTGTTTGACTTCTTTTAGGAAATCTATTGAACTCTTTTTTTACTCTATTTCAGAAATGGGAAGGATTTCAGGGAACAACAAGTATGAAGGAGCATGCTATGTTGCAATTGATGGTAAGTCTATGAACTAATCTATCGTATCTTTATATTTGATTGAATTTAATGAAATGGAGATGTAATGATACTCTTTTTCATATTGAGAAATAATATGAACAGTTTTGTGTTTGTTGTTACTAGTCTGTAGATGGCTAAATAGATATTGAAATTCAGTGAGTAAATGTTGTTAGAGTAAAAGCGTTCTTATATTGACGAGCATAATTTCATCAAGAGATCTCTCAAAGTTATCTAGTTTTGACGACCCATTAGGATGATCTATTCCCTTGTCGTTGTACGAATTCGTCTTGCCTTCTAACTAATGGTCATTGTTCTAGTTGATTATCTTTTAAGGATCTAACAAGCTAAGTGCTTGCTTACAGGACCGTTAGAGGGACTATGTTAATTGAACATAATGCCAATTCGACGCAAGCAAGAGAATAACAGGGAAGCAAGCCTATCAAGTGTAAAGTGAATGAATTATTAAATATTTTGTTGCAATAATAGGCACAAACAGCTTTTGGATTCTCTTCGAACTCATTCTTCTGAAGTTGGGAAAAACATTGGGGTGCAGCACTCTGTCACTTTTCTATTTGTTTGTCCTTATTTTGCGATTATGATTTCATCTTCTGTACAGTGTCAAAATTGTATTCGGATGCAACTTTCTATGTAGAAAATGGAAATAAAGAAGAAATGGAAAATGAATTAGGTTTGTTTGTCCATCTGTGTGGCTCGATTCTCATGTGTGCCATAATTATTAGCTTTTTAATATTTGATTACTAAATTAAAACAATCTCATCCGTCTAAGAAATGGATCCTGTTGACGGTCAAAGAAATAGAGGCAACTATAACTGCCTCTAAATAACATATGGAAGCAGATACATGAACAATTAGCGGCTAATGATCCATCTTTAATGACCATAATTGGCGACTAAAATATTTGTTGTGAAAGGAACGAATCAGAACACTTTCATATTTACATAATTCAACTATTAGGGGCAGATTAAAGAGCCTTCAGATGTATAATCACCGACTAATAATATGTGCCGCTATCGATTGCCGCTAAATGGAATTAGCGGCAGCAGTATTGACAGCACATAAATATGTGCTTCTAAAAAGGTTTAGAGGCAATTAAACACCCTATAGTGGCATATATCCATTGCCCCCAAAAATCATTTTTCTTGTAGTGGATTTACAAGATAACTAATAGTTTTATAATATCAACTTAACTATAATAATTAATGTTATTTAAACTTTGCATCATGGTATTAGTTTTTTAAATTCCAATTGATTAAAGCCATGGTCGTGATGCGAGAGGGCCATGGGCAGAGATGAGAGGGCAATGGTCAATGATGCAAGAGGCATAGGCGAAGGGAAAAGGGGTTTGGATTTGTCACCCGCCACTTGTAAGTTTTTGTAAAAAAATAATAAATATTCTTATTTGTTTATGCAAGGAATCACTGTATTAAAACTCACTTCTTGACTTCTTGTTACTTTTACCATGACATTATCTATTATACTAAAAATGAAATTCCAAATGGAAATAATTTATATTCTAAAAACAACAAACAACTAATTTAAACTTCCGGCCTTGCCATAGCAAGGGGTCCTTGGTTGCAAGGTTATGAGATGATTGATCGCGGTCATGTTGCGAAGATTAGATGACCATGCACGTGTACTAAGATGGCCAGAGACCCTACACCAAGATCACACACAACACGAGGGGCAGCAAAATGTGTTCTAAGACTTTGGCTTAGTCAAGAGAGAGGCGAGGGAGCAACTGTCACTCACCCTATGTTTGAAGAACTCGTCAACCATGTTTGAGGGAAAAGTTAATCTGCTAACTTGAAGATTCGTTAGCAGATATTAACTGATATTCAAAATACATGAACTAGTATCCAAGTACTAAAATATCTAGAGAGCACAGACTAGTATTTAAAGTTTGCTAACTGATATCCACTATGAATCAACTATTATCCCAAATTCACAAACTAATATCTAGACAACACAAAATAGTATCCAGATAACACATAAGAGTATCCAGATAACATATAAGAGTATCCATATTGAATACTAGTTGGTTGTTTGTGGATATTGGTTGGTATCTGCTATTTGGATACTAATTTGTGATGTTTTGAATACTAGTCTGTGTTATCTACATACTCAACAGAGTTAGATATTAGTTCATACAGTTTGGATATTAGTTAGGAGCACTTCTACTATACTATATAGCATTGGTGCTTTAATGTACAACTTGAAGTTGTACCATAACATTAAATGTATAAGTTTAGGTTGTACCATAAAGGAATTTGTAGCATTATGTTATGGTACAACTTTACAACTTGAAGTTGTTCCATCACATAAGGTACAAGTTTAAGTTGTACCATAAAAAGAATTTGTACAAAAAATATAGGTACAATCTGAAGTTGTACCATAACATTAAAGGTACAAATTCAAGTTGTACCATAAAAGCAAAAACTTATAGCACCAATACTATATAGCATTGTAAAATTCCTCATTAGTTAGTATATACTAACGAATCTTCTAGTTAGCAGAATAACCATGCTGCATGTTTGAGGAAGAGGGGATAGAGATTCTTTATAGTAGTTATCAAGCTGACGGTTAGCTCCCCATGTCCAGCGCATAGTAGCCATATTTTTAGTTTGGACCTCTCAACTCCAAAAAATTCTCAATTAATTCTTAATCGTCGTATAAAATTTCTATAATTGATAAAATTATCAAATCCTGAAAAATTCTCATTATGCATGGCCGAAGTCCTTAAAATGCTCATTATACATGCTAATTGATAAAATAAATCAACTCCAACAAATTCTCAATTATCATATAAATTTTCTCTATTTGATAAAATTATCAAATCCTATAAATGCTCATTATACTTTTGAAAATATACACATCCAAAAGAAATAAAATTTCTAGGCCAAACTGATGGTATAGTCCCATATTTTGCATCTGTTATTGCAGTTATCAGAGAAATGCTCATATTCACTGCTAGATAATGAAGGAAATTATATCTTCATTTTTCCCATTGCAGCGCCCGTTGACCCTTTATCAGTGTGTAAGTTGGTTCGTACATTCATGATATAGTAGTTAAGAGTTGCATTTCCATGGACCGGTCGCTGCAAATGGTTGGGATGTGAAGCTGTATTTTTACATGTTGCTTAAGAGTCGAGAATTATTTTCATTGCCTCAAGGTTTGGTATGCGTGTCACAAACTAACAATTGCAGAAGTATGGCTTTATATTGTTGTTGTTATCTTTAAAGGGGACGTGGGAGGATTAGAAATTGTTCCATTTTAGGGTTTGGGATAGGGTCAGTAACCAATGGTTACTGACCTATCAGTAAACACACGGAGCCGTAGATTTGGGGATGGAGAAATCGTGTGGTTGGCTGGACGCGGGGATGGAGAGAGGCATTTTTGTCCGTTTTTGTATTTTTAATTTTTTTTATTAATTCCGTATTTCAATGGCTGACTTTTCAATGAAAGAGAGAGAATAACCTTTTCTCTGCAACTCTACTTTATTCCTTCTCTCTTCCTTTTTTCCAATATCTTTTCAGACCCTTTCTCTTTCTCTATTCCTTCTCTCTTACTTTTTCTCTCACAATCTCCATTTCAAATCTAGATCTGTTCTCTTCCATCTCCATTTTTTTCTCTAGCAATCGACGAATAAAAATTGAAGTCAACCTCTTTAATTGCGTTTTTTCAATTCATCAACTTGTTGGCTTTAATTTCGATCTTTCTCCTTTTTTTGGCGTTTGGTGTTCTTTGGTTGCGGATGAAATGAGATGAGACAGAAGAAAAGTTTTTTTTCTCTCTCTCTTTTTGTTTTCCCCCCTTTCTTTTAGGTAATATACATTGGTATTACCACACTATACCATAAGGTATTATGTGGTAACGAAATATATATTGGTATTACAATTCTATATCCCCCTTTCTAATACTATTTATCCTTATCTGACCCGATCACGAATAGTGTAAAATCGGTTTCCTCTCTTCATATGGTATTGGGTGGTAACGAAATATATATTTATTACCACACTATACCATATGGTATTGGGTGGTAACGGAATATATATTGGTATTACCACTCTATACCATATGGTATTGGGTGGTAACGAAATATATATTGATATTACCATACTATACCATATGGTATTGGGTGGTAACGAAATATATATTGGTATTACCACTCTATACCATATTGTATTACCACTCTATACCATATGGTATTGGATGGTAACGAAATATATATTGATATTACCACACTATACCATATGGTAGTAACGGAATATATATTCATGTGACAAAAATTTTCATACCATATGGTATGCTCTTATTTAATACCAGTCAATACCATATGGTACAGTCAATACCATATGGTATAGACTGGTAATAACTGACAAATTTTTTTGTGTCCAAAAAATATGAAAGTGGATATGATTTTGAAGAGCACAATTAATCTGATCAACTGTGCAAAAAAAATTAAATTTCGACTTAAAACGAGTGAGAAATCGTCCGTTAAAGATTAAGGGAAGGAAAATTAAATGTTTTGCAAGAAGAGAGAAGGAGGCGCTGATGTGGTACGGTCAAAAGTCAGTCTCGGCAATAAATAGGAGAAAGTGCAATTTTACCGTACTGCCCTTTTCACATTTAATTTAAATGAAAAAGTGACTGACACGTGGGGACCATGGAAGGGGTTACTTATGGGTTACTGACCCATCAGTTACTGAACTGATCTGGACCCCATTTTAGTAGCATCAAACTGCAAATTGCTGTTACCGATGCAATGATTTAATTTATTAATATTGATCTTGCCCCGCCGCGAAGCACTGGCTCCCTTCTCGTTATTATAAATTTGGTCATTCCTTCGACTCAAGCCCTACAACTCCTTTCCGTTTTCACAAAGGCAAAAGAAATACTTTACTCATACAGTTTGAAAAAATTATCAATGTGTTTTCATATTAAAAAATGATTGTAGAACACACTTGGGGTCTACACTATTAAAAAAAATTGTCTATGTATATCATATTAGACAATCATTCATGAACTGATCACATATTCAATTTCTAAACTTGTTCTTAATGTAATTCAAAGCTGAAAAGACTCTTTCAATACTTGTTGTACAACCATAAATCAATACAAATTAAGGGTAGCTTGAAATTTGTTTAATTATTAGATTTTGAAAATAATTAGAGATAGAGAATGACATTATACTATTACACAGTGTTTAAAATCGAATAACATATGAGTTGTAGCCTAATGAAAATTATGTTTATTAATAATAAAAGTGTCCTAGGTTTGAATTACCCAAACTACGACTTATATTTTCATACTCAAACTAAAAGATGAGAGTAGGATAATCACTTTTTTAAATTTAGGGGTGTCCCCGACTATCAATTATAATTTTTTTGTCAATACGTAAATTACTACCAGGGGTTGGATAATCGTTTTCCCAAAATTTAGGGGTGTCCGGGG